TCCACCTAAAGCCTCAGTACATCATTGGGAAGTGACTAGGTCACCTTGGTCCCGTTTACATATAGATTTTGCTGGCCCTTTTCATGGACAGATGTTTTTTTTAGTTGTTGACTCCATTTGAAAATGGCTAGAAGTTGTTCCAGTTACATCTGCTACCTCAGTCACAGTCATAAAGATTCTAAGGAGGCTGTTTGCTACACATGGGTTGCCAGATACAACTGTGTCTGATAATGGAACACAATTTACCCCATCAGAATTCAAAGTTTTCATGGCAAGTATCTTATTCGACATGTTATGATTGCACCATTTCACCCATCATCAAATGGTCAAGCCGAGCGTATGGTTCAAACTACCAAAGACTCATTAAAGAGAATTATTGAAGGAGATTGGAATCGTAGACTTGCAAATTTCCTTCTGCAACAACATGTGACACCTTGCTTAAGCACTGGTAGTAGTCCAGCAGAGCTCCTTATGAACCGGCATCTTAAAACTTGTCTGGATCGTTTACATCCTGATTTGACATCTGAGTTACAAGAGAAGCAAGAATTGCAATTCAATAATAACTATAATGCTTCTACTGTGAGAGTATTTGCACCTGACAGGGCTGTCTATGTCAGGAACTATGTTTCAGGGCCTAAATGGATACCTGCAAAAGTACTTGTGGCTACATGACCTTTGTCATACACAGTACAAATTCCTGATGGTAGAATTTTAAAAAGGCATGTTAATCAGATTTGCGAATGGAGTGATGAGATTGTGCCTGCTGCCGGTCCCAGTCATACTGGGTTTTCTGTGATACCAGATGATGTTGAACCGCTGGATGATACAGGTCTCAGTTCTCCAGGAGTTGTTGTTGAAGAACCAGTTCTGTGCCGTCCATCTGACAGAGCACAGGAACAAGGGATGGGCACATCTGAAGGTCCAGGTGAAGCATTTCTAAACATGGTTTTGGGGCGCCCACAACGAAATATTAAACCTCCCAGTTATCTCAAAGACTTTGAGGTCTAGGGGGGAGGAGTGTTATGTATTGGGGTTATGCAGTCCACCTTCCAGTAGATGGCAGCATAGTGAAGTTATGCACTTGTTCTGTTCTGTTAGTTTCTCTTGTGTTATGTCATTATGTGTGTGTACTGAAGTAAAGAGAAGTTCTATTTTACTACAATGTCTGAGAGCCATTTTGTGAATATATAACATGCGAATACATTAAAATAATATAAGCACCCTGTATGTTACAGCAAGGCGTGATGCTTAAAGCGGCACTGTCAGGCCGAATCCCTTTTTTTTTTAACCCCCCTCCCGCCTCCACTACATCCAATTGACCCACTAGTCACCCCCAAATGCCCCTAAGCCCCCCACATTACCTATTTTTAAATCCTTATTTTCTGCCCCGATCTTGATTCAGGGCGCTGCCATCTTTGTGTGGGTAGATGAAGTCCCTCAGGGACACGTCATCAGCCCACACTAGGCAGACGCTGAGATTCCCGCACATGCCCAGTGAAACACCTGGACATGCGAACGGGAATTTCATCTATTCATTCACTCATCAGACAGACGAATGAGTGAATAGAAAGATCAGCCGAACAAACAAACACAATGTATCAGTGTTTGTTTGTTCGTTTAGTTTATTACAAGGAGGGAGCTACCGGCATGCAGCTCCCTCCTTGTAATATGTAACTATAGAAGCTGCAGGGAGCAGTGCTCCCCACCACTTCATAAGCCCCCCCAGGTCCCCCTCTCACTCTATGGGGGTCAATATGACCCCCATAATAGCACAAGGGAGATTAAAATCTCCCAAATGCCCCTACTCGCTATACCGCGAGTAGGGGCATGTCTACTAAACAGTGAGCAGCCTGTGGCTGCTCACTGTTGAAAAAAAGACATAAATTACAATAAGGGGGGGCGGACCTATTGTCCTCCCCCCCTCCCCCACCCTGAGCGGCGGGTGGGGGCCATAAAGATAATGGGGGGGGGGACCTACTGTCCTCCCCCCCCCGGCCCCCACCCCTGAGCCGTGGGTGGGGGCCCTAATAAAACCATAAGGGGGGGGACCTACTGTCCTCCCCCCCTGGCCCCCACCCCTGCGCGGTGGGTGGGGGCCCTAATAAAACCATAAGGGGGGACCTACTGTCCTCCCCCCCTGGCCCCCACCCCTGCGCGGTGGGTGGGGCCCCTAATAAAACAATAAGGGGGGGGACCTACTGTCCTCCCCCCCTGGCCCCCACCCCTGCGCGGTGGGTGGGGGCCCTAATAAAACAATAAGGGGGGGACCTACTGTCCTCCCCCTGGCCCCCACCCCTGAGCGGTGGGTGGGGGCCCTAAATAAAGATATGGGGGGGAACTTCTGGCCCCCACCCCTGGCCCCCACCCCTGCGCGGTGGGTGGGGGCCCTAATAAAACAATAAGGGGGGGGACCTACTGTCCTCCCCCCCGGCCCCCACCCCTGCGCGGTGGGTGGGGGCCCTAACAAAACAATAGGGGGGGGACCTACTGTCCTCCCCCCCACCCCTGCGCGGTGGGTGGGGGCCCTAATAAAACAATAAGGGGGGGGACCTACTGTCCTCCCCCCCGGCCCCCACCCCTGCGCGGTGGGTGGGGGCCCTAACAAAACAATAGGGGGGGGACCTACTGTCCTCCCCCCCGGCCCCCACCCCTGAGCGGTGGGTGGGGGCCCTAATAAAACAATAAGGTATTACGTACGGGGAGGAGGACGTGATGACGTGAGACGCCGCACGTGCTTTAGGTGGGCGTGTCCGGAGGGAGGTTGAGGAGAGAGGACGCGGAGTCGAGAGTAAGCAATGCCGCTCCGTGCCGATTTGTGAGTGTGGTCCGGCTTAGACGAAGTGGAGGGAGGGCTCGGTTCGGTGAAGATTTGGTGGGTCGGTGGACCTGGTCTGACGTGGTGGTGTATGCCGGTTTTTGCTGGGGGTTTGTTGCCTCCGTTTTTGGGCAAATAGTGGCAAATAGTGGCGATTCCCTTATAGACCGTTAAAAAGGTCAAGGAAGAAATAAAAACAGTTCCTGTATAAATTATCAAACAAAAAACGAAAAAAAAAAAGAAGAAGAAAAAAGGGATACAAAGAAGGAAAGAATAAGAGAGAAATAAAGGGAAAAAGAGGAAATACATCCCTCAGTGATCTCCTAAACAGCCATATATAAAAACTGTGAGTACTTCTGTATTTACTAAAAAATATAACTGTAAGGCATCATACCTGTATATAATTACTGGCCTGGAAAAAAGAAAAGTGGAAGGAAATCTTTTTTTTTCCTCGTTGGAGGAGATTGGCATCAAGAATCAATTATTTGACCAATTGATTTAATCTAGTTCTTTGAGTTTGGAGTTGAAATTTTATATGCGACATCTAGTTATAATTTGTCACTGAGAAGCATTTAAGAAATAAAACAAAATGTCAACCAGGAAAACAACGGAAAAAAAGAAAGAAATTAAGTCAGTTCAACAAACAGAAAAGAGGTTGTCAGGTTTTTTGCAACTCCTATTAAAGATCCTATTAAAGATCCGCAGGAACAGATAATTGATAGTAAGGCACACCCAAGTAATACTTCCAATATTATCCAAGAAGTTGCACTTAATCAATTTCCATCAGAAGCTCAAGCAATTGCTTCAATTAGTATCCAAGATCAATTTAAGCAAACGCTGGAACTACAATTAAATTTATTGAAACAAGAAATGCTTGTAAGTTTCAATGAGATAAAACAAGAAATTAAAAATGTTGCAGTATCAGTGGTGGAAGTGGAAAAAAAATGTGAAGTGTTTGGAACGCAAATTAAAGCAATTAATACGGAGGTGCAGTTTCTAGTAAATAAAGTTGATAATCTTGAAAATAAAATAGCAGCCTTGGAAGATAGGTCAAGAAAAAGAAATATCAGAGTAAGAGGTGTTTCTGAAGAAATCTCCAATGAAAAATTGAGAGAATATTTAAACAATTTATTTGAAGAAGTTTTACCAGAAATACCTACAGATGAATATAAAATAGAAAATTTTCACCGAATACATAAACCAGATACAACAGCTTCACATCTCCCAAGAGATGTAATAGTGAGTTTTTCCTCATTATCATTGAGAAATAATTTAATGAAAGCCTGCCGTACCAAACTCCGAACAAATTCTATTTACAAAGACATAATTTTTTTGCAAGACTTATCTTATCACACCAGGACTTGGAGGAAATCTTTCTCTATCGTGACGGATTTTTTAAGAAAAGCAGAGATCAGGTTTCAATGGGCCTATCCAACATCTTTAAGATTTACTTGGAAACAAGAAAGAAAAATTTTTTTGGATGCAAATGAAGCAAATAGTTGGTTAACAGGTATCAATAAAAAAGCTTGAAGGGTCTGTTGCGGCGGAGAGGAAGATGGAAGGAAGAGAGAAGAGAGGAGAAGAGAGAGGAGGGAGAGAGGAAGGAATGAAAGAGGAAGAAAATTAACTTTTTTTTTTTTTTTTCACTCATATAGAATCACTTAATTGTGCTTTGCACAATTTGCTAATTTGTTGATGTTATTGGGGCTTGTTTTCACTTTAAAGCTACTAGTCAATTGAGAATTAAGTATATGCACACAAGCATTTGGAACATAAGGATTTAAAAGCAAATATGTCTAAGTATTAATATTAATTAGATTTGAACTTAACGAGGTGGTTAAAAGAAAATTATTCACATGTATTAGTAAGTTAAGTAGAAACAGATTTATTTAAAGTAAAGAATCACAGAGTAACTGATTTAAGTATAAAATAATGGAAGAAATTTTTTTTTTTTGTCCTCACTCATGTAGAATTATTTAATTGGGTATATGCATGTAACCATGTGGAACATAAGGACTTAAAAGTAAATATGTCTAAGTATTAATATTACTTTACTGTAAAATGACTCAGAGCACTCTGATTGGCTTAAATCCACCAATCAGAGTGTTCTAAGCCTAATTGCAGGGTGGGGCAAGGCTTTATAAGCCTTGACCCGCCCTGCGGAGCTCAGTCTGCGGCGTGCCCTCGAAGGGCGAACTTGGATTAAATTTTTTTTGCGCTCGTTTTTTTTAATTTATTTTTTTAAAAGTGCGACGGGTATAATGGATTTTTATTTGGCCTTTTTGGGGGCTGAAGAAAGAAGATTTTAGAAAAAAGAAGACGTCAAATGGTAAGTTTAATTTTTTTTTTTTTACAGGTTAGTTATTTTATTACCCCCCTCACTATTTGTAGGGTGAGGGGGGTAGGTAGGGGATAGGTTTTTTTGGGTGGGGGGGGTGGTGACTAGGGGCTTGGGACCCCTAGTCACCTTGATTGGGGGGGGGGTGTTTCATTTAGGGCCCCCACCGCTCAGGGGTGGGGGCCGGAGGGGGAGGACAGTAGGTCCCCCCCCTTATTGTTTTATTAGGGCCCCCACCCACCGCGCAGGGGTGGGGGCCAGGGGGGGAGGACAGTAGGTCGCCCCTTATTGTTTTATTAGGGCCCCCACCCACCGCGCAGGGGTGGGGGCCAGGGGGGGGAGGACAGTAGGTCCCCCCCTTATTGTTTTATTGGGGCCCCCACCCACCGCGCAGGGGTGGGGGCCAGGGGGGGAGGACAGTAGGTTTCCCCCCCCTTATTGTTTTATTAGGGCCCCCACCCACCGCGCAGGGGTGGGGGCCAGGGGGGGGACAGAAGTTCCCCCCCATATCTTTATTTAGGGCCCCCACCCACCGCTCAGGGGTGGGGGCCAGGTTCCCCCCCATCTTTATTTAGGGCCCCCACGGGCATGGGGGGGGGGGTTTATTAGTTTTTTGTTTGTTTTTTTACAGTGAGCAGCTATACGCTGCTCACTGCTTACTACACATGCCCCTACTCGCGGTATAGCGAGTAGGGGCATTTAAGTTACTAATACTAAGTAATCTTTACTTAGTATTAGTAAAGTTGGCTGTTAGACCAATTTAGGTCTTTCAGCCTTTTAGTAGATAGCTCCCTGATACCGTGGGAATTAGGGAGTTATCTACTAAGCGGCTGCAAGATGCAGCCACAGCAATGAATAGGATCAGAGTTTCATTCATTAGAATGAAATTCTGATTCGAATAAAGTGCCGAATTGCGTTCTAAAAGAAACGAACATACTGTTGTCATTCAGTTAGAACGCAATTCGGCAGTTTTGTGTAAAGTGACAGGAAGCATTGTGGGAACACAGAGGAAAGGTAAGGATCATGGGAAAATTGCTCTGACCAGCGGAAATGAAGCACACTTTGCTCCTCCGCTGGTCAAAGCTGGTCAAGCGGAGGAATCCTCCATAAGGCAAAGAGTCCCTACTTTGTCTTATGATTTTAAAGAAAACTAAAGAAGACAGGAAGAAAAGAAGAACAGATCCTGAGAGAGGGGGAGAAGAGGAAGAGATTGAGGAAAGGTAAGTTCGGCATGACAGTGCCGCTTTAACATCATACTAAGTGTATTTTTTCTAATTAATTTATATATATATATATATATATACACACACACACATATTAATATAGAAATACTTAGAGTAAAATTACTCACGTCTATATATAATAACTATATATATATATATATTGATTGCATGTGTGTGTATAAATGTAGTAGAAAAAACTATAAACATGTGTATAAGCTGGATAGTACCAGCAATCAGTCACGATTAAATCAATCTGTGAGGGCTTGAGACAAAGTTACAACATTTGTAGCAAATATAGTAGTTAATCATGGAAACAGTGTATCATTATGCGCCCACAAGATAGAAAATGTGAATGATTATCACAGAATTAATGTGCTGTGTCCTAGTACATAAATTAACAAAAGATGGCACATAAATCCCCTTACAAATCAAAAAATAATTGTTCAAAAATGCCCAAAAATCTTATAAAAGGTATTCATTTTATTCTAACTGTATTTTTGTATGTATGTATGTATGTATATATATATCTCCAAATACACTTAGAATGAAATTATATATATCTATGTATATCCCCTTAACGACCATGGATGTACTAGGTATGTCCGACAAAAAGCTGTCGTTAAGGACCGCGGATGTACCTAGGACGTCCGCAGCAAATAGGAGCCCTGGACTGGTGATCACGGTCGGGGCGACTGCCAGAGACCCCAGCAGTCCCCCTGCAGCAGCTCTGGCCCTCCAGGGCCATGTGATCACCAATAGGACTCTAGGAGCTGCCAGCAGCGGTATTGTCTGAGCTGTCAGGCAGTCCCCAGGCTGCTAAAAAGTAAAAACAATTATAATAAAATAAATCAATCTATAGTGACCTACCTGGTTTACGACAGCTCGCATTTATGACCAGGCGTAAGTACGAGCCATCTTGGGGATTCCCTGCTCAGGTGCGCATGTCTATGTTCAGGGAAGTTTCCTGAACATAGATTAGAGATTAGAGGCTTTCCCTGCTCTGGTGCGTTTGTCTATGTTCGGGGAAGTTTCCCCGAACATTTATGAAGGCACCAGAGCAGGGAATCCCTTAATTCCTCACTTACCGACCAATTTGTTCTACGACCGGATCGTAGGAAAGGAAACCGGTCGGTAAGTGAGCAGTGTCTATATTATATATATATATATATATATTATGAATTGGACATTTTTTTTTATAAAAAAACAAATAAAAATGCTAACTTTGGCTAGCGTTTGTGACTATGCGGCTACTACAAAAGACTGGACATACCCCATTTTGAATACCCTGGGTTGTCTACATTTGAAAATGGTATGCCATGATGGGGTTATTTCACATTCCTGGGCTACAATATGGTCTCAAAAGGGAACGCAAACCAATCTGGCAACCTGAATCAGGCAAGCCCTATATTGATCCTGCAACCTTCCAAAACACTATAAAACCTGTACTTGGGAGGTATTGTTATACTCGGGAGACTTCGCTGAACACATATAAGTGTTTTAAACAGCAAAACTTATCACGACAATGAAATCACCAGTAAAAGTGCAGTGCCAACTGAGGAAGCCACATTTTGGCGAAACGCGTTTTGGCACACAATTGGACAATAGTAGACTTTTTAATTTATACTTTATGAAGTGTTTTATCCAGTGTATGTAACAATAAATTCAATTTTAGGCAA